TATATCCTTTGAGTTTATTTCCTTTGAGTTATATTTGAGTCTTCTTTGAGTTTTATTTAAGTTTTACCTTTTGTATATACATATCCTTACCCTCTTCACGTTAAGTCAAGTAGTATAGTTAGCAAGGCCAGCTTTCTATATTACAATAGCTATTAACTATATTATAGATTTAATTTTCAAAATTATTATTCATGAAATTTAAACTCTAAATTTGCTATTTAGTAATGCAACAACTTAACTAATATTAATTAAGAAAACTATAGTAGTATTAATTACAGGTGGATTAGTTTTTAACTTTTTTTTTGTTTGATTTTAGAGTTTTTTGATTTTATTAAGGCCTTTGGGTGATATATAGTTAGTGTTAGAAAATAGACAACACAAATATATCTTTTTTTTCTAGAAAATAACTAGTATTATCAAAATTATACAAGTTTATATTTTAAATTTGCACTAGTAAGTTATTCAGATTAGTTTTTGAGTATTAGCCAGAGCTAGTGCTAATTTCAAGAGTGGGTTCTTCAGGATATTATTTTATTTGCAACTTTTTTAGACATACAGTTTTTTATAGTTATAACAAACCAATTAAGCAGTATTATTGTTGTTTTGTTCGTCACAATTGTTGTTACAATAGAATTTTGTCTCATTTGCTTTAATTCTTGCTACCAAAGTTAAAAAACTTCATAGTTTGACAACATGGCTTGTATCTGTTAAGTTAAATAGTTTAAGTTATTATTGTATTAGAAGTTCTAGTTTTAGATTATATTTCTTTTACTATAATATTCTCTAGATTTAATTTTACAGACACTAATTATAGCTTTTTTGAGGTTTTAAAAATTAGCTGTATTTAACTAGAAGGTTATTTTTAGCTTCAAACTTTTTAAAAATATATGTATAACATATAGTTAAGAAAGGCAGTTTTTGAGATCTATCTAATATAACAATCTTTTAAAATTATATATATATGTATATACTTATTTAACATAATACTAGGTTAAAAAATTCAAATTAGCCTACTATTGATAGTGATATTTAGAGTTTCAAAATAGTATTAAAAGTGAAAAACAAAACTTCTATTACAATTGTTGGGGTTGTATTAATACTAGAAAGTTTATTTTATTCTATTATACTAGTTTGTAGCTACACTACACAAATAGCTCAAAGCTATTTTAACTTTATGTTTAGAGAACCAGTTGTTGATATCTAAGGCTTATTTAAATACTTCTACTTACTTTAGGGAGTTTTTTTCTACTTCTCTATAGAAGGTTTGACACTTACTAAATTAGTTTCTTGAAGCAAAGAATAGGTAGCATCATAATACTAGTAAAGATATTTCTAAACATATTTGTGATTTTTCACAATATTGTGTATAACAATTCTGGTGCTAGGAGATTATTATAGCTATTATTAATTATTTAATATACTAGCAGGTTGTTTATAGGGTGTGACTATAATTATTATTTGGATAATTTTGGCCTGGGTAGGTTATATCACAGGGAGCAGTATCAAAAATCCTATTTTCATCATTGTTAGGAAAGACATTTACTTCTGCTCTTTGTTGTTCTATAATTATTGTAACAGTTTGGGGAAGTCAGAGTAATTGTGTTAGATTTCACAGTCACTACTACGATTGTTGGTAGCAACAGCTAAAGAGTACACAGATCTAGATAGTTACCACTAAGATGTAACACATAAAAAAAAACTAACAACAAGCATACAACAAAACCAACAAGAGTAAGGTGGTTAAGATTTGGCAAGATAAGGCTTTTGAGAGTTGATTTGTTGTAAATGCAATATAAAAATAAAGAACTTTAGAATCAAAAAACTTTTATTTGATAAGAATCAAATGTTATTATTTTATTTAAACTAATCTGCTCTTTAACCAGAGTAGATTGCAGATATATTTATACAAAATATTTAGGTACACAGAAAAGAAAAAAGAATTTGAAGTCTCATTGTCGATTATCATTGCTACTGATTATAAGGTGATTAGAGTTATTTGCTCTTTCCCCTATGTGAATGTAAATATCCGACTCGCACTGCCACCCGATTTATCTGATTTGTTGCCCTTTTTGTTTGTTTATACCCAACAATATCACTGCCTTATCTAGCCTTTTTGGGTGATGCTTGGTCCGTGTTTTGCCCTGATAAGCATCCCATAGTTACTCTTCTTACACCACGCCTGGGAGTCCATTGTTCTGTGGTCTTGGGCCATCTTGATAATGATCTTATCACAGATGCGACCATAGTGTCTTGATTCTTCAGTGATTTTACTCCCAACAATCTCATCCTTTAGAGGCTATTTCAGGCTTGGTTTGTTTGTGTTGACAAAGGGGCTTTGGGGTCAAACTGATTCCTTCCAAATTCTTGCTGATTTCGTGGGCTCTAATTCGGGTCTTTTAGTCACATTTTTAGCCTCATAACATCAAATTCAATGTAGGGGTTTCGTCAGTTTTGCTGCTAACGATAGATAAATAATTTTAATTTTGTTTTTTTTAAAAAAAAAATACAAAAACACATATTGAACTCATGTAACAAGAATAATTCTTATATTAATTCATATAAACTAATAAATTTTATTATTTAAATTTAGAAGAATATTATTTTTAAAACTAATATTAAAATTGTTATGTTTGATAATATTCGTTTTTTTTAGAAATTATATACATAATTATAAAGAATTTTCACTTATCATTGCCTAATAAAAACTTAAAAAATAGATGTTTTAAATATGAACAATAAAATTTTGATAAATTTCTATATAAATTTTATCTCTTAGTTTTTACAAAATCTTAACTTACATATTTATAATTTTGCATCTTAAGATTTAATAAAATCTAGTCAATTTAAAATACTCTAGAGGTAGATAAGATTTTCGGGCATGAGCCCAATAGCTAATCGCGTTTTGATACATTCCAGGATGGACTAAACCTGATACTAAACTTGTTAAGGAGCGACTTACTGAGTTAATCAGTCTAGGTTTTCAATTAAATTATGGTTTTATTACCGATATTTTCACCTTTTTGAAAGTCGAATAGACAATATGAAATATCTTAGTTGATTCTCTTACAGAAATTAAGAAAGAGCAACAAGATTGTTTCTTACGAAGATGTTTGGCTGAAACTCTAAATCCCAATAAATTAAAGAATTCAAACTTAATGAATTTCTTTTGCAAATATTTACCTAATACAGTCGAAAACGAATTTAATGACGCTTTCAACCTTTATTCAAGTTTAAAAAATCGAAACCTATAAATTCTAAATTATTCTTGAAATTTTGAGAAAGATCCAAACCGTAGAAGTGATTTTCGAGTCGCGAGAAATCAAGATTTCTTTGGGTTTAATTTGCGTCAGTGTAGGCGTTAATGCTTGGATTAGGATTAAGGTTGGCAAGCATGTAACTAAATTCGTCGAGGAAAATTATTGTTAGGGCATGATTGGCAATTTCTTATGCAAAATTTTCGATAATCCTCAAACGTACTTTTGTTATTGAATCTTCCGGACTGTTTGTTATCTTTACAATGTATCAAAATGTGATTAGCTATTGGTTCATGTCCGAAAATCTTATCAACCTCTAGAGTATTTTAAATTGACTAGATTTTATTAGATCTTAAGATGCAAAATTTTAAATATGGAAGTTAAGATTCTGTAAAAACTAAGAGATAAAATTTATATAGAAATTTATCAAAATTTTATTGTTCATGTTTAAAACATCTATTTTTTAAGTTTTTATTAGGCAATATTAAATGAAAATTCTTTATAATCATGTATATAATTTCTAAAAAAAACGAATATTATCAAACATAACAATTTTAATATTAATTTTAAAATTAATTTTCTTCTAAATTTAAATAATAAATTAGTTTATATGAATTAATATAAGAATTATTCTTGTTACATGAGTTCAATATGTGTTTTGTATTTTTTTTTTTTTAAAAAAACAAATTAAGTTATTTATCTATTGTTAGCAGCAAAACTGACGAAACCTCTATGTTGAATATGATGTCACGAGGCTGAAAATGTGGCTAAAAGACCTGAATCAGAGCCCACGAAATCAGGAATCAATTTGCCCCCAAAGCCCCTTTGTCAACATTTTAGATAGCGCACCCACAAAAATTTTCCACACCCGTGAATTTATAAAACCGCATTATAATTAGGGTTAGGCGAGAACAGTGTAAGGTTAGGGTTAGAGTAGGGTTATTGTATCAGTAAATTTCACAAGGAACATTTTTAATTAGGCCGCAGAAGGTGGTTTCTTAATTAAAATTTCGAGTTATTTCAGTTTATTTGTAAAAAATGGTTTCGCTTCGTTTGTTTACGTTACACCTGATCTTGAAATTTGATTGGCCAAAATTCACAGGTGGGAAAATTTTTGTGGGTGCGCTAGGGGGGTTCTTTGTCAACACAAACAAACCAAGCCTGTAAAAGATGAGATTGTTGGGAGTAAAATCACTGAAGAATCAAGACACTATGGTCACATCTGTGATAAGATCATTATCAAGATAGCCCAAGGCCACAGAACAACGGACCCCAAGCGTGGTGTAAGAAGAATAACTATGGGGCGCTTATCAGGACAAAACACAAACCAAGAATCACCATAAAAGGCTACACAAGGCAGTGATATTGCTAGGTCCAGTATAAACAAACAAAAAGGGCAACAAATCGGGTAAATCGGGTGGCAGTGTGAGTCAGATATTTACATTTACATAGAGGAAAAGGGCAAATGACCCTAATTGTCTTATAATCAGTAGCAATAATGCGATAGAATCGACAATAGAACTTTCTTCTTTTTTTCTTTTCTGCATACCTAAACATTTTGTATAAGTATATCTGCAATCTACTCTGATTAAAGAGCAGATTAGTTTAAATAAAATAATAACATTGATTCTGATCAAATAAAAGTTTTTTGATCCTAAAGTTCTTAATTTTTATATCACACTCACAACAATTCAACTCTCAAAAGCCCTATCTTGCCAAATCTTGGTTTTGTTGTATAGTTGTTGTTAGTTTTTTTCATGTATTACATTTAGTGATAACTATCTAGACTTATGTACCCTATATTTGTTGCTATTAACAATCATGGTGGTGACTATGAGATCTGACATAACTACTTTAACTCTACTAAAAGTGTCAATAATTATAGAACAACAAAAGGTAGAAGTAAACATCTTCCATGACAATGATGAAAATATAATTATTAATGCTGCCTTCTATAAACTACTTAGGCCAAAATTTACCTAATAGCAATTATAGTTGCACTTATAGATAAAAATAAAATTATTTCAGGTTTTAAAACCCAAAAAAAATTTGAAGATGAAATTGGTTTGACTTACCTTTCTTAAAAGACAAAAATTTTTGATACCTTTTTTGAATAGACAAAATGGATCTTCTTTAGTATAGGTGGGCAATATAAAAATATTATAAGATTATAATATAAAAAAATTTTAACCCTAACTCTAACCTAACTATAAATTATACTATAACTCTTACCCTAACCCTAACTAATCTCAAATTTGCTTAAATTAGTTCAAATAGCTATTTTTTATATTATAATCTTATATTATTCCTATATTGCCTATTTATACTAAAGATCAACTGACAAAATTATAAGAAATATAATTACATAAATTAAATTTGTTCTTTCTTATAAAAAATTTTAATTTGCTTTAATGAAGATGAAATAGGCTTTTTTTGAAAATCTATTTTTGTAGCATGTATAGTTGCACTTTTATAAACAACCTGCTAGTATATCAAATAATTAATGATAGCCAAAATAACTTCCTAGTACTAGAACTATTATACACAATATTGTGAGAAATTGCAAATCTGTTTAAAGATTTTTTGTTAATATTATTGATACTGCATATCTTCTGCTTTGAGAAATTAACTTAGTAAGAATTAGACCCTTCTATGAAAAAGAGGAAAAGAACCCTGTAGAGTAAATAGAAGTATTCAAATGGGTTTCAAATACTAACAACTAGTTCTCCAAACAAAAAGTTAAAATAGACTTAAGCTGTTTGTATTATGTCGCTACAAACTAGTATAATAGAGTAAAATAAACTATCTGGTATTGGAACAACCCCAATGATTGTAATAAAAAGTTTGTTTTTACTGTTAACACTATATTGCAACATCCAAATATCATTATCAATAGCAACCTGATTTGAATTCTTTAACTCAGTATAATTTTAAATAAGTTAATATTTATATATATAATTTTAAAAGTTTGTTACATCAAGTAGACTCCAAAAACTGCTTTTCTTAATTGTATATTATATATATATTCTTGAGAGATTTGAAACTAAAAATAGCCTTCTAGTTATTATAACTAATTTCTGAAACTTCAAAGAAGCTATAATTGGTACTTGTAAAATTAAAGCCAGAGGATATTATAGTAAAAAAAATATAATTTGAAACTAGAACTTCAACTATATTAATAACTTAAATTATTTGACTTAATAAATACATATTATATTATCAAACTATGAAAGATTATTTCATCCTTGGCAGCAAGGATTAAAGCAAGTTTCTATTATAATAACAATTATGAAGAAAAATAACAATAATGCTGCTTAATTAGTCTGATATAACTATAAAAAATCTAGATATATCTTATAAAATTGTATATTTGAAAGAGCTCCAGATAAAATAATACTCTAAAGAACCTACTTCTAAATCTGCTACTAGTCTGGCTAATATCAAGAACTAATATAAATAATCTACTAATACAGATATCATATCAAATCTAAAATATATACTTATATAATTTTAATAATACTAGTTATCAACTAGAAAAAGAAAATATATTTGTGTTGTCTATTTTCTAACACCAACTATATACTATTCAAAGGCCTCAATAAAATTAAAAAATCTAAAAGTTTAATAAAAAAAAAGTTTAAAAACAAACTATCTTGTAATTAAGACTACTATAGTGTACTTAATTAATATAATATTTTCACTAGTCTTTCTGCAAGCTCTAGAAGTTTTACTAGTATAACTGTACTATAGAAGAAATTTATTAGTTATTAATTAATTGGAACTATATAACATATTTAAGATATACTAGTAATAAAAACAAATACTACTATTTTACAACTTTTCAATACTTAAACTAGTGATATTTTTAGCCTAAGCTTTATAAAGATTGCAGATAATTAAATTAGTTAAACTTTTTAAAATAAAAACAAATATAGTATAGCTTTTGAATAATAAACAATAGCCACTTGCTATTATATTCAAATAAAAAACAATTCTATTATTGTTATACTTGATTTAGATACTGCTATAAGCTTGATATTGATAAAAATAATAGAAAAATTAAAGTTAAAAATCAATAAACTATTTCTTGCTATTATAGTAATAGCAAACAGAATTTACAAATAAGCTTTAAAGAAGATTAATAGCTTTAAAGTAGCTATTCATAATATGTTAACCTCTACTACCTTTCAAATAATTAAATCTAACAATTATTTGTTGTTGTTAAGTATAAATGAGTTTGTAAAAGCTTAAGCCTAGATATATTTTGCAAAAAAAAGTTATATTTTATATACAATAATAGAACTAGTAAAATTTTAATTTTTATTGATAGAGAATCTTTAAATAAACCTGTTGACAAATACTTAAATATAAGAATATGTTCATTAAGTTGAGTATAATAATAAGATTCTAAATAAAGCTAACAGATATTACAAGTTGAATTAGTAAATAAAAGGTACAAATTAGAAGACAAATCTTCTAGTATACACTTATTATACTACTATAGATTTGCCAAATAACTGTAGCATCTCAGTAGTATATTAGTAGTATATAAGTCAGATATTAGAAGGTATACAATAATAGCAATATAATAGTAATATACTAGGATATTCTAATATCTTACTCTTAGTTTAAATAGTGCTAAATATAAGATATCAAGATATCCTGGTATGTTATTGTTATATTACTATTATCAAGCTACTTCCTGATATCTAATCTATATGCTACCAAGATGCTACAGTTATTTGGTAAATTTATAGTAGAATAACAGATATATACCAGGAGATTTGTCTCCCAATATGTACCTGTTACTTATTGATTCAACCTGTATATTTTATAAAAAGAACTTTTAACAAATTTTTTAAAAACTTATAAAGTAATTATAATAGTTCTACAATTTGCTTAGCCAATATAAAAAAACTATGACCCAGAATTCTGACTTTAAAAATAAACTCTCCATAGAAAAAAAATTATAAATAATATATTTTGTAAAAAAAAAA